AAATAGTTCCATACAACAAAAGATTAATGATTGTGAGAAATCTAAAATCCAAGGGTGTAGAAATAACATTTTGGAAAGAAATGGTTGGTGTTTGTTGGTGCACTTTTGAAATTTTGCGGTTTACATAATGCCCCTCCAATCTGAAACTTTTGCGTTTTTCAAGTTTCAGAATTTAACCAGGACACAAGGCAAGAACTGAAAGCTCAGCAGAAAGAATTATTCTCCATCGTTGGGAATGAGGTTTGTGCTAATTGTTTTGAATACTCACATTTCAATTTGAAGGTGACGAGACTGCTGCTTTTAAACTATTGGGGTTTTTTTTTCCAAGAAAAGTTATTCAAAGATTCTTCCGTTCTGTCTTCCTGAGAGAAGTTGTAGTTCTCTCAAATTTCAGAAGATACCAAAATTCTTTTCTTAATCAACATTTCTGCTACGATCTTCATTTTTTAAGGGTCATCTTCCCATGTCATGTACACAACTGTAAATTTGCGATGAATGCATGATTTCAATTTTGTTTTAAAAGTAGATGTAAATGCATGAATATGATAGTTAAATGAGCCGAATTGGTGTAAATAAAAATAAATTATTTGATATATCACTTGTGTGGTTGAGGTTATATTTTCAGGTTGCAACTTCTATGACCTTAATGTAAATGATGTTCATGATGAGAAATTGGATTTTTGGTTGTCCATAGTGCACTTATTATGCACTTTCTTTTACTATTCTAAATAAGATTACCGGATTTTAATTTGGTTTTATTTGCAGAACACATTTAATACAACAGTCACGCATAATCAGAGCATGCACACTCATTCTCAAAAAACGACAGATGCTAATGTTGAAATGAAAGATAAGAAATCTATGCCAAGAGCAACCCAAAATCATCAGAGTTCACGACCTCAGCCTCGGAGAGTGTTAAATCAGAAGGTTTTAGAAATTAAGGATCAAATTATTAGAGCCCGAGCATACTTGGGTTTTGCTTCACCAGGCAGCAGCTCACGCTTGATGAAGGAGTTGAAGCTGAGAATAAAAGAGATGGAACGTGCACTTGGAACAGCTACTAAGGATTCAGACCTGTCTAGGAGGTAAAATTTTCTTGTGACCCTACAACATGAATTTAGTTTGGCAGTTATTTATTACATGTACTTACTAAAATGTACAAGTTTCCAGACAAAACTAATGATTTGGTCCCTGAAAAATACATTATTTTCTATTTCTTCCCACTACTAGGTTCATCAATTGATTGAAGCAAATTAAAGTTTCAGCAGAGAAAATTAGAAGTGGATGGATACCATTAAGAAACTTGTTTTCAGAGACCAAAACATAATATGTTTTGTTACAAGCCCAAACTAAATCTTTGAAAATCTGGCAACTGCTTGTTTACAAATATAAAAGTAGTGACAGAGAACATTCACGCTTATCATTTTTATGTGATATGAACTGTAAAGAAAATTAGATGTTTTTTAATCTGAAAACAAGTGAAGTTCACAGTGCTTTGCAGAAAATGAGACACATGGAGGCTTCACTGTCTAAAGCAGACCGTGCTTTCCCGGACTGCACTGCTATGGCAACTAAGCTCCGGGCAATGAATCATAAGACTGAAGGGGAAATTCATTATCAGCAACGTGAAACAACATATCTTGTTCATCTTGCTGCAAGGACTACCCCGAGAGGTCTTCACTGTCTTTCTATGCAGCTAACTGCTGATTACTTTGCCCTGAGACCTGAGGACCGGAAGCTTCCAAATGAAAATAAGATTAATGATCCAAAACTTCATCACTATGTTGTCTTCTCTGACAATGTTCTGGCGTGTGCAGTTGTTGTTAACTCTACTATCTCTAATGCCAAGGTAAATGCATTTTTTAAATTGATTAACTTTTATTTTTTTTCCTTTCATTCGGGTGTTGTTAGCTTTTGTTGTTTCTTTTGCTTTTGGAAAATGTTTCAACCTCAATGCAATGCTGAGAAAAAAAACACTGATACTAGCAAATTCAATATTAACAAGGTTGGCTGTAATTTACTTTCAACTTAGTAGTCCCTTGGTGGACACTTTTTGAATAGTTGATACCCCTTATGTTTCACATTTATCAGCCAAAGCTGTCTGTCTACGGAAAATTGAAGCACATATTTATACTCAAGATTTTTCTTCAATTATTATGTAGTAAAAACCATTGGGGTGGGTGGCGGCCATACGACAGGCAGTATGAATGCATGATTCTACCACCAATTTATTTGATTTCATTCCTATCTTTCCTTGAACCCACCTTGCTTATAATTGGCATAAGATTTTTGAAATATTTCTGTCTACATTGGAAAAGTTATCTTAGTTGCTCTGCTTCTCAAGGCGCTGCAGAACATGCTGAAGAATTAAGAAGTCAAAACAGTAAAAACACAAGAGGACGTGTGATTTTTTATTATGGAATAACGCTAATAAGTCAATCATCCTATAAAATACTTCCCTCTACATCATTATCAAATAAACTTTGATTTTCTAGTTAGCAGGAGTTATTTCTACTTTATTAGTTTCTCAGCACTTTATAGAAGTGCCTAACTTGTAGTTAATACAAGAGATGCAGTAAGAAGGATGATATTATGAGATCCCTTAGAAAGTAATTCATTCCCATGAGAATGCAGTCTTATGTACCCGCACAAACCCTGTCACTTACTGTTGAGTTGTTGAAGACTGATTTTTTTATATTTGTGACAAGTACTGACAGTATACTATTTTTAAACACACTATTATTTACTGAAGTTTATTTGATATAAAAAAATAAAAAATAGTGTGTCTTAACATCCTTGTTTAGGGAACCTCACTGTTGATTTTGTAGTTTCCAATAAATTTTAATTAAAAAATTTTATTATTGAATATGAAGCTAATGCTTAAGTCTGTGTTTTAGTGACAAGAAAGTGTGACAATGACTTTTAAATTGCAGAAACAGGGGAAACTTGTTTTCCATGTAGTGACCAATTCACTAAACTTTCCTGCAATCTGGATGTGGTTCTTATTAAACCCTCCTGGAAAAGCCACAGTCCACATACAAAGCATAGAGAACTTTGAATGGTTGCTCAAGTACAATGCATTCAAAGAACAAAATTCCAGTGATCCAAGATTTACTTCTGAGTTGAACTACCTGCGTTTCTACCTTCCAGATATCTTCCCTACTTTAAATAAGGTTGTGCTCTTTGATCATGATGTCGTGGTGCAACAAGATCTCAGTAGGCTATGGAATGTTAATATGAAAGGGAAAGTAAATGCAGCAGTTGGCACTTGTCAGGAAGGGGAAACTTCATTTCATAGGATGGATACGTTCATAAACTTCTCAGATCCATTAATTGCAAATAGGTTTGATGTCAATGCTTGCACTTGGGCATTTGGGATGAACTTGTTTGATTTACAACAGTGGAGAAGACAAAATTTAACTGCTCTCTATCACAGTTATTTGCAAATGGTATGATTAAAGAAATGTTATTTTTTTGTACACCTATTTTTTTCTCTGTTCAGAGAGTCTGCATGTTGTTCTCCTCTCAGAAATTTGCCTACTTTTAAATTCTTCAAATCTTGAGTTTGGCTTCTAGCGTTGATAAAATAAACGAGCTTCCTTGAAATTGGATTTGCGTTAATCCTGGAATCCAAATGTTAATCAAAGAAACATGTTCATTGTTCTAATTTCGATTGTTGAATCTAATGAGAAGGTCTTGTTTATTTTGCAGTTATATGGAAGACAATTTTATTCTATTAAATTCTGATGCAACGATAATTTGATGTGTTTCTCTATGCTGTTAATTTCAGGGTTCCAAGAGGCCATTGTTGAAAACTGGAAGTCTGCCTTTAGGGTGGCTGACCTTCTATAACAAGACTATGATTTTGGACAAACGGTGGCAGATTCTTGGTCTTGGTTATGACTCAGATGTTGATAAAAACCAGATTGACCGGGCTGCGGTTATACACTTCGATGGAATTAGGAAACCGTGGTTAGACATTGCAATGGGAAGATATAAAAGTTACTGGACCAAATTTGTGGAGTTTCACCACCCTATCTTGCAACGTTGCAATCTCCAGGCGTAGCCCAAAATTTAAATATCACCTTTCGTACATGGCAGGTTTTATTTGAGTAATTTCCTGGCATATTAATTGCCTGCTTCAATCGATTCTTTATTGTTCTTGGCGATTCTTGTTGTAAAGCCCTTCATAGATGCATAAAGTTTACGTCATATATATTTTTAGAAGCTTAGCTAATTTGTAGGACATTGAGATGAAATAAGATTCACGTAGGCATTTTAGCTGCTTGGAGATGCTGTTGCTGGTTGTGTACATAAAAATTCGTTTCCGTGCTGTGTTAGATCGTGCTACCAGTGCTTACCACCATTTTACGCCAATTACGAGCGGAGTTAAGTTGTACACTCAGGAACTAATCTATACACAATTGTGGCTGCCATTTGAGTTGTAAAGCATTAGTATATGCTATTTTCTCATTATTTATCACAGAAAGCCATGGGATTCAAGTATTATGCGTGTAATGTTTGCTTCTGACTTCTGTGTCTCGAAAGTAATGTCTTTATTATCCGTGAACATGGGGGGTTCAAATTATGTTCTGCTTCTCCGCTTCTTTTAATTGTTAGAAAGAAAGTATTATCTGGTCGTGATTCTTTGGACAAATACCTTTATTAAAGATTTCTTAAATAAGTATTAGTGTGTAAGTTGCTTTTAGAATTAGAATAAACTATATTTAGAATGTTTTTGCGTCATTTTAAGTCGTTTTCATTAATTGTCCTAAATATTTTTAAAACATAAGCTGAAAATCGATTATAAATATTTTTGCATTTTTTTTAATACTGTCATAAGATAAATTCAAATATCTTCTAAGTCTTTGTTACCGTTGTAAAGTATCAGCTTCGATCGGGTAAAATAATATGGGGCTATGAAGAGATTATGTGACGCGTGGAGAACAATTATTGGGTTTTTGCAGATATGGATATCAAACGACGGGTTTTCAGCCTATCTATGGTGTGTGGTGGCCGATAATAATAGTGACAATTTTGAAATATTTTCTATTGCGTATGAAATAAACTGCAACCGCTACAGAAGCGTAGACGTACTCTGATTCATCACTGAAGAAAAATGGCATCCATCATCGCCGGCACCCCTACAACATCGATCTCTCGCACAGGTCTTGTACTCAAGCGACCTTTTGGGGTCTCATCCTCCACCGTTCTTGGTGAGTTTTTCCCTCAAGGAAGATAATATATTTGATTTCTTTCAGAATTTGCAATCAATTGATCTGTTTCTATTTCTCATTTTCTTGTACTCACAACGTAGTGAAACACAAGACGTAGCAATTTCAGGGTTCTCATATTTCACATTTAGACTGATAGTTTGGTTTTAGACTATGCTTATTAATGAACCAACGACCTTTTTTCTTACAATAACTAACATAACATCGTTCATATATGGCAAACATAACTGTATAGGATTGCCAGCAATGGGTAGTAGGGCAGGGAAAGTGAGATGCTCGATGGAGGAAAAACCATCCTTGCAGGAAAGCAGTTCAAAGGTGGGAATGGGAACATCCTTGCTAGCAGCTGCATTCGCCGCAACCATGTCAAGCCCAGCCATGGCTTTGGTGGATGAGAGACTTAGCACTGAAGGGACAGGGCTTCCCTTTGGGCTTAGCAACAACCTTCTTGGTTGGATCCTGTTGGGTGTCTTTGCTCTTATATGGGCTCTCTTCTTTGTCTACACTTCCACTCTTGAAGAGGATGAAGAGTCTGGAATGTCCCTCTAAACACCGACTCATTATGCATCGTATAAATTCCAAACACTCATCTCCTCCTCTGTTGTATTAAAATTCTACTTGTGTATTCATCTTCAATCTTCTCAAGTTATTGATTTCTCCATATGCAGAGGTTTCACATAGCTTATTCCATACATGCATGCCTTTTGCTTTCCGAGGTTGCCTGTTTATTGGTACTATAACATCTATTCTAGCCCTCTGAAATTAAGTGGAAGTGGAAAAATATACATTACAAATACATGTGAACAAAAATATGCGCCTTTTCTATTATCTTTCTTACATTATTACGTGGATCATTTATATGCATTTAGACGGACATGTAAACATCTAATTACTCGTGACAATGAAGATAAGTGTTCTTGTAATAACTGTAGAGATAAAATCTATATATAAAATTGTGATTGGGCCTCTAACTTATAATTCAGCTTAGTTATAATTTGTATTGAATGTGCAATTCTATGTCTCATTTGAATGTCATCTACTATATGAGATGTTCATGTATTGGGTATCATGTGTAACCTGAAGTGTTAATGTATAAGTTTTCTAGATTTAATGGTTCTCAAAATCACTTCTAGATTTACCTACTTTATGCCATATACTGGCTTAGCCCTCACCAAGGTGAATCTAACTTTGATTACACCGTCAGGTTTGTTTGAGAAGAGATACAGGGAGATTTAGTGTTAATAAATTGTAAACAAGTCTATATAAAAGACGATAATATTATTTCCGTTCCAAAATTTTAAAACAATAAATTTACAATTTTTTTTCATTTTATCTAATATGAAACTTTCATCTTATTTTGTTTGAATCCTATCAGAAGGACTTATTAAAGATAATATGGAAAGATTATGGAACCTAATTAAAATAAGAGCATTAAAGTAACTTTAATTTTTTTTAAAAATTAAACGAATGGGTGAAAAAATCATTTAATGTGTTTAATTGCATTATGTTACGACGAACTCCGAAGTGCAAGCACAGTAAATATAATTCAATTGATATGAATCCTTATTTAGCGGTGTTAACCAAAGCAATTTCAAATACCATTGAAGTTTAAGAACCATAAATACAGAGTTCTTTTTTTTCATGATTTCCTCCTGCATACTGTCGATGTAATTGCTTTGGAAAGATGTATGATGGAATGATCTAAAAGGTTCTGTATTATACCATGTAAAAGTTAAAAAATTATGTATTATATTATAAATTATATTATCTAAGCTAAAAGTTTATTTTTGCTAGTTGTTTATCAGTTAGATTGATCATTCTTAATTTGCATCAGAAATAGTTAAATTGATTAAATTGATGAAGGATAATAAAGTGGTTTTGCTTTATAGTTATTTTAAAGGTTTAATGTCTCCGTAGGTCCCTATTTTGGTCATGAATTTCAAATAAGTCCTCATAATTTTCGGCGTATCAATTGAGTCCTTGTTTTTGTAAAATTGAATCAATTACAGGCCTGCCGTTAATTTGGAGAAACGGCCGTTACGGTATTGGTTAGGTGGCATGGTTGAGTGCAGACGTGGCATTTAAAACGGTTATTGTATAAAATAATTGGGATGCACGTGTGTTTATTCAGTTTTGGGTAAGGGTAAAGTAGGAAATTTGAAAAAATTAAAAGGGCAACTGAGATTGGGGAAAGAATTAAACCTTTTTATTAGGTTTAATGTCTCCGTAGGTCCCTATTTTGGTCATGAATTTCAAATAGGTCCTCGTCATTTTCGGCGTTTCAATTGAGTCCTTGTTTTTGTAAAATTGAATCAATTACAGGCCTGCCGTTAATTTGGAGAAACGGCCGTTACGGTATTGGTTAGGTGGCATGGTTGAGTGCAGACGTGGCATTTAAAACGGTTATTGTATAAAATAATTGGGATGCACGTGTGTTTATTCAGTTTTGGGTAAGGGTAAAGTAGGAAATTTGAAAAAATTAAAAGGGCAACTGAGATTGGGGAAAGAATTAAACCTTTTTATTATTAGGGTTCGCGTGAGAGGCCAAAAATCGCGATCGTAAGTTCGAGACTGAAGCGGCAGAGTGCATGCAGTGGGCGGTGTCTGTGGGTCCTTTTGTTGTTGGAAGCAAGAAGCTGAAGCACGTGGTCAGTGGAGGTAAGTGTTTCTGCTTTATTGTATTCGTTTTGATTCAATCGAAACTACAATCACTTGTGGTGGTCCCCCATTGCTGTATGGTTTGGTCTCTGGTTTTGATTGCATTTTGGTGGTCCCCCATGTATGTTTAAAGTTATTTGACTTTGTCTGAGTGCGTATGTTTAAAGTTATTTGATCTCTGTGCCTGTTTTAATATATATTTTTTTTGTCGTGATATGTTTTCATAATAGGTCTGTAGATATATTTATTGTGTGTTGTGCGTAATGGAGGACGCTATTGTGTGTGTGTTCCACCATGGAGGAAAGTTCATTAATGATAGTACCCTAAAGTATGAAGGGGAGACAACAACTTTGTCCTTTGACCCTGACACGTGGAGTTTTTTTGTGATTGTCAGTGTAGTGAAAAGTTTAGGATATGAGAATTTTAAAGATTTATGGTACTGTTTAGGAGGGGGTTTAGTGTTGGAAAATAGGTTGGAACAATTGATTGATGACAGAGGTGCCATGCATATGGCTAACTTAGCTAGGCTTAATGGTGAAGTTCACTTATACGTTCTCCATGTAGTTTCTGATCCCGAAGTCATTCATATGCTTGAAGACATTACTAATGATGAAGGAGAAGTTGAAGGTAATGGTACAGTACAAAAAGAGGTTGAAGAAGATGGTGATTCTGTTAAAGTAAATGGTGAAGGTGATGGTGACTTACAAGAGGTGAATGTTTGTGAAGAAGATGGTGAGGGTGTTGAAGTAAATGGTGTAGTTGATGGTGACTTACAAGAGGTCAATGTTTGTGAAGAAGATGGTGACGGTGTTGAAGTAAATGATGTAGTTGATGGTGACTTACAAGAGGTGAATGTTTGTGAAGAAGATGGTGACGGTGTTGAAGTAAATGATGTAGTTGATGGTGACTTAGAAGAGGTGAACGAGGGTGAAGAAGATGGTGGTGCTGTTGAAGTAGAGGTTGAAGGTCATGGTCACGTACAAGAGTTGCATGAGGTTGAAGAAGAGCAAGAGTTGAATGTGTGTGAAGGAGTCGTGGAGGATGAAGTTTATCTTTGTAGTTGGAGTACATCTACTGAAGAAGGTGATGTACATGGAATTAATGAGTGCTTAGAGGGCCTAGTAGATGTGAGTGTTGAATGTGATATAGATGGTGATGTAGATTGTAATGTCGAAGTAGAAGTAGAAGTAGAAAGTCTTTATGATAGTGATGATGACCGTGATAATGTCAGTGTTGAATGTGATGATCATGACGATAGAGGATTGTCAGATTTTGAGTGGAAATCTGAGGAATTTCTTAGTGCAACAGATAGTGATGAAGAGGTTAATGACAGTGAAGGTTATGGGAGGTTTGGTATTTTTTGTATGCCAAAAAGTATGGTAGACTTTACATGGGAAGTTGGGACTTTTTTTGCAGAAAAGCAAGATATTTTAGATGCTGTAAAAGGGTATGCCTTGGAAAATGGGAGGAATATAAAGTTTGTAAAAAATGACAAGAGAAGATTGAGGATGAAGTGCTTTGGTGCAAAAGGAGAATGCCCATGGACCATATACTTTGGTTATATGGAGGCTGTAAAATCATGGCAGCTGAGAACTAAAAAAGACATTCATACATGCAGCAGGGAGTTCAACCTGAAGTTAGTTGACGCCAAGTGGTTGAGCAAAAAGTTGGTGAAAACAGTTCAGGAAAATCCTAAGATGAAGGGTGTTGATATTCGTGAAAAAGTTCAAAGGAAGTGGAACATAGGTATATCAAGGTCTATGGCTTATAGAGCCAAAGCTATTGCTTCTAATGAAATTGATGGGTCCTTTAATGAGCAATATAAGAGGATATATGATTATGCGCATGAGTTGTTGGAAAGAAATCCAGGATCTACAGTTAAGGTCCATGTTGAGAATAATGAGGGTGAGTTAATTTTCAAGAGATTTTACTGTTGTCTGAAGGCATGCAAAGACAGTTTTGTCTGCTGTAGGCCAATAATTGGATTAGATGGAGCCTTTTTGAAAGGGAAGTATGGTGGTGAGCTGTTGACGGCTGTTGGGAGGGATGGAAATGATCAAATGTTGCCCATTGCATATGCGGTGGTAGAAGTCGAAAACAAAGATTCATGGATGTGGTTTTTGGAACTTTTAATTGATGATCTTGGTGGTGGAGAAGTGTGTTCTTCAATTACTTTTGTCTCGGACCAACAAAAGGTAATAATCATATTTAAATTGCTTCTTTCGTATATTGGTTCATTAATTTGATATGGTGATAAATCATTTACGTTAACACCACAGGGTCTACTACCAGCCATACAACAGTTACTCCCAGGTGTTGACCAGAGATTTTGTGTCAGACACTTATATTCAAACTTTAGGAAAAAGTTTCCTGGTAAAAATCTGAAACAGCTGATGTGGAGGGCAGCTACTGCCACTCATCCACAAAACTGGGAAAGGGAGATGAGAAACATTAAAGATATAAATGAAGACGCATTCAAGCATTTGATTGCCATCCCTCCAAGGTTGACAATTTGTATTAATTATTTTTGCCCTTTGTATATTATTTTATGTTTGTCCATATTAGTTGCAGTTTTAACATGTGTATATATCATCTGTTGTAGATATTGGTCAAGGTCCAGATTCAGTCCAACACCAAAATGTGACACATTGGTCAACAATATCAGTGAGGCTTTCAACAGTGTCTTGGTTCACACCAGGACTAAACCAATCATAACAATGCTGGAAGAAATTAGGGTATACATAATGCAAAGATGGGCAAAAAACAGGGATAAGATACAATCATTTTCAGGACCAATTTGTCCAAAGATCCAGGCCAGATTTACAAAGGAATCCCAAGCAACCAAGAATTGGATACCTAGGTAACTTTCTTCATAACTTCATAAATGTTTATTCATTCCTTGGTAAACTTTATGTCATACACTTAAATGTGTTGTTTAAATTTTTTATTTCTTTATAGCTGGTCAGCACACAAACTGTTTGAAGTAAGACACGTCTCCCAAAGTGGAGAAAAATTTGTTGTAAACATAGACGAGTTCTCATGCTCGTGCAGGAGATGGAGCATCACAGGAATTCCATGTTGTCACTCCCTTGCCGCAATGAAGTTTCTTAATATTGATGGCCAGCAGTTCATTCCGGCTTGCTTTCTAAAGTCCACCTATGAAGAAACCTATGCATCAATCGTATATCCCATCAACGGCAACAACATGTGGGACCTAACACCACATCCGGATGTCATGCCTCCTAGGAAAAAGGTTATGCCTGGAAGACCTAAAAGGAAAAGAAGACTGGAGCAGTGGGAGATCAGAAAGGATGATTCACGAGTGAGCAAGGGTGGTTTGCGGAAGAGATGCGGGATATGTAGGGAGGTTGGGCACAACAGGAGTCGTTGCCCGAAAGCAACCCAAGAACCAATCATGCCATCATCGCAATTATCTGAAGTGTGTATGAATGATGAGCAAGCTGAACTATAGATGTCTGTATAAATGACAACGATGCCAAGTTTAAGGAACTTTGGTTATGTAATAGTCTAAGGAACAAGGTTGATTGTTTTACTGCTTTGTAATTTTGCTGAACTATAGATGTGTGTATGGTTTTGGATGTATTACAATGATGCCAACTATGTATGGTTTTGGATGTATTACACTGTTTTGGATGTATTACAATGAGCAGGAACTACTTTGTCAATGACCAGGAACTGTTTTGGATGTATTACAATGACCAGGAACTATTTTGTCAATGACCAGGAACTGTTTTGGATGTATTAAAATGTTTTGGTTATATTACAATTTCCTTCTTGGACGGACGTCTTATATACAACGATAGGGGACGACCAGACCAAACGCTCTGCAGCACGGAGGTTGTTGGAAGAGCGATGCACGAGGGTGGACGACCAGACCGAACGGTCTTCAACACGGACGTAGTTGGACGAGCGCTACACACGGGAGGACGACCACACCGAACGCTCTTCAGCACGGACGTAGTTGGACGAGCGCTAGACAAGGGAGGACGACCACACCGAACGGTCTTGAGCACGGACGTAGGTGGACGAGCGGTACACGAGGGAGGACGACTAAACCGAACGCTCGTCCAGCGAAGACGCGCAGTTGACGCTCGTCCAGCGAGGACCCGCATTGGACGCTCGTCAAGATAGGACCCGCAGTGGACGCTCGTCAAGATAGGACCCGCATTGGACGCTCGTCAATACTATCTCAGCAATGTAACAATCAAATTGTGGTCTGATCAGGATAACAATGCTGTAATTTAGCATTTCGTCAATCAAACTGCTTATTCTATAAATATGATTTACCATTATAACAATTGTTTAATTTAGCAGTAATTTTGTACACAGTATATGGACTGAATTTATAACAACTCTTCCATTTCATTCATTTCATTCATTTCATTACAACAGACAAAACCTACAACAAAGTTACAAGGAATCATCCTTTCGTCATCAACATTGAAACTAAAACTATCTGTATTACACATAAAACAGACACCAACAACATCACCACCTTCATCAACTTTTCAACAATGAAAACTGATTTTTGTAAATTCAGTATCATTTTCCTAGTACTATCCATGTCTTCACTCTTCACTAGTGTTTCTTTCTTTCCTTCACTGTTGAACAAACTTCCCCTTTCGTCACCACCAATATCATTGCACCATTCGAAGAAGTTGCAACCACTTTCTTCACCACCATTCTGTAAAGACAGCATTCAACTTCATTAGGGAGTACCACCTTCTTCTCACAAACAGTACCAGAACTTGATTAGGTTGAGTTGAATCTAACATACCTTATACTTGGAGCATCCCCAAAATTGCTTGCCCCGATTCTTCGTAGTTTTGGCAGTTCTCACCACACAACTTTGACCACAGTAGCAGATCGGTGAAGGCGTACCATTTTCCTTCCGCCTGGCACTGCAACTCGATGAATACCAAGAGTGCTCCTTCGACATTCTCTTCGAACAACTAGTACTACACCCAGCTGCGTCGCAAAACTACAACTTCGACCTCGTACTTCGAATCGAACAAAGAACGCGCACCCTCCCACTTCGAATCGAACAAAGAACGCGCACCCTCCAACTTCGAATCGAACAAAGAACGCGCACCCTCCCACTTCGAATCCAACAAAGAACGCGCACCCTCCCACTTCCAATCGAACAAAGATACACCTGATTTTTGGATCCAACTTAGGATCCCATTTTTGGCCTCTCACGCGAACCCTAATATTAAAAACCCTCAATTTCTTCCCCCAATCTCATGTGCATTCGTCAATTAAAACCTGTTGGCCTTGAATTTTTTCAAATTTCCTAGTATGCCCTTACCCAAAACTGAATAATCAGACGTGCATACCAATTATTTAATACAAAAACCGTTTTAAATGCCACGTCAGATTAGTTACTGCACTAAACCATGCCACCTAACCAATACCGTAACGGACGTTTATCCAAATTAACGGCAGGCCTGTAATTGATTCAATTTTACAAAAACAAGGACTCAATTGAAACGCCGAAAATGACGAGGACCTATTTGAAATTCATGACCAAAATAGGGACCTACGGAGACATTAAACCTATTTTAAATGTAGCAAAAGGAAGAACATTTTAGTTTGTTAATAAAATACTATTTGTAGTGGATAAAATGGTAAATGTGGTCGGCAATGACAATGCCAGATGGCAATAGTGCACACAACACAACTATTTACTTTACTTATTATATGGTAACAACTAAAAGTTAACAACTTTTTGAGAATGAATGCATGTCAAAAGTATATTGATCCATTTTAAATATTTATAAAAATATATTTCAAAAGTACCAATCAAAAACTGTCATAGATTAATTGTTAAAATGTTGTAAGTTGTTGGAAAAAAGTTTTCCCTACTTTACTCTGCTATCTCTGTCTTCACAGTTTGATATTGTTGTGTTCCGTTTGCTTTCAACCATGAAACATTCCTTTGTGATAAGTGTGAGCAAAAAGAAAATTTAACTTATAATAATTTAAATGTATTTTATTTTACTTTGAATATATATTTAAATATATTATTTTAAATTCAAATGTATATTTTTTCATTTTAAATTTAATTCATTTTATTGGATTTTGATCGTATATAAATTGAATAATTTTTTGAATTTTAAAAATTCAAAATCAACATACATTTGGATTGAGTTAAAATGATCTTACTTACTTAATATTGTGATGAAATAATCTTAATTAGAAGTCAAGTTAATTTGAATCAAAAATCAACTAAAGTTGATTCCAAGTACAAATCAAGACTAATAAGTCTAAATCTAAATTGAGTTGAGTTGAGTTAGCTTAAGTCTAAATTGAGTTAGAGTTAACATAAATCTAAATCCATTCAAGTCAATTCTGACCTAGTTCAAGTAAATTAGCCCAAGTTTGAGGTAAGAGGGTCAAACTCAAGTTGAGGTGAGACAATCCAAGCTCATGGCAAATTGAGTTGACCTTAACCCAAGTCAAGCTGGGACAACTTAGGTCAAGCCAAGTTGGCTTGGACCCAGGTCGAGCTAAGTGACCCAATCTCATATCAAGTCATCTTGACCCAAACTCAAATTGAATCAAGTCAGTTTTGGTTTAAGTCTATTTAAATTTAGGTGGTGGTGAGTTAGTTAGATTAAAGTCAAAGCAAATTGACTTATAATTATGTTATGTTGAGTCGACCTAAACTCAAGCTGAGCTTATCTATCGCAAATCCATGTTAAACCAAATCAATTTAAATCCAATCAAGACAAACAAACTTAGTGAAACTTCGATATGATAAAAACAAACAAATCGAGTCAGAATTCCATTGAAGATAATACTTTTGTTCATGTGAGAGAAAGAAAACAAAAAAAAGATTTGTGATTATTCCTACGTTTCAATCTCTATAATGTTAGATTATGTATATTAGATCAATAATCAAAGAACAATAACTTTTTCTTAAACAAAGCAAATCCCTTCGTAACAAAAAAAATAAAAACGTATAATGATTGATCATTAAAAACAACATAGATTAATATTTTATTCTTAAATTCCATCTTGATTTTATTTTCTAATAAGAATAAAGAGAAAAGAATAAAAATAATACTATATGCTCACATATGACCTCCAGTTACTTTTTCTTAAATTTTAATATTTTAATTTAACTCTTCAACAAATTAAAATATTATTTATAACCTCAAACCTTTTATTATATATTCCAAAACGTAGACAACAATATTTTAAAAAAATTATGGTAGTGTGATATGAAATATAGAGATATTTGGACACTTTTGCAGTATTAATATTGATAAAGAAAAGTTTAATAATTTGACTTTCTTAATCTGTTTGTGACTAGCCATTCTTATGGTAGTGACTACTTAGGAAAGTGGAGAATGGTGATTGTTTGTGTGTGAAGCATAGTCACTTATTGGTTGATTTATCAGAAGAGAAGAGACCGAGTTCCTCGAGATGGGGATCAATATCTTGGTGGTGTGGATCTTGAGACACTTGGCGATCAGTGAACATCCACCGTCCACCTTCAGTCTTCATCATGTTCTTGTTCAGGTCTTGCCTCCAGTTTGGTGGCACTGTATACTCGTCCTTCAAAAAGTCACATGACTTGTTCACCAAAGCAATGTCCCTCTCACTCGTTCTCTTAAATGGATCATACTTCCTATGGTATCTGCCATAATCAAAACTTACACATCAATTTCTCATACTTATATCATCTTATCATTGCTTTTAAACCTAAAATCTACTATGGAAGAAATTCAACACCTTATTTCTTTTCAATATCAACTCTCTTACCTTTTACTTTTATAAATAATATTTCAGACATAAAAAAATAAATTCATTATAATGATTTGTTTTTTTTTTATGAATGATATCAAATATAAGTATCCAATAAGATAACATCTAAATTTAGAATGTGTATTTGTAAAATAAAAGAAGTAAGTTTTAGAAAAGTTTAATAATATTTTTAAGTATATTAATATTATTTTAACATTAGATGCATTTATAATAATAGTTCTAAAGAAATATGATATCACGAGAACGTGATTCTGGTTAACATCATTACTTTACGAAGAATTTAAGACATGCTTAATTGGAGTTATATAAAGATAAAAGTTTATTTAAAAAAAATCCATGCATATGCATTCTTTAAAGTTAAATAAAATTGCTTATAAATGGAAAATAATTACTTATAAATGTGTAAAATTTATATTGATAATATTTTTATTTATAAAAGATTATATATATATATATATATATATGAAAACATGGGCCCCATTTAATTTAATTTGTTTTCTGAACTTGTCAAGAGGAATGGGCCTGCTGGTCCCCTCCCGAACTCCGGATATTTACAACTGTTGCCATATTTATGCTGACTGACTCCAGGACAAAAATAAAACAACATGCGTTTTAAAATATCATTTTCCATAACTATTGATGCAATTATTTGAGATCTCATTTATGATAAGATAGCATGTTGATATAACATAAGATATAAGATTAAAAATCTTAAAAAAATATTATTTGTCAGAAGATATTGTATTAGAGTAAAATTTAAAAGTTAATACAGATGACTTTACATTGTAGTATTTTGTCTCCTTCTTCAACGCATTTTTTACGAATTATTTCTGTAATTTTTTTATATTTCATTGTTTAAAAACTCGTTTGCTACTTTTTGTTTGTGTTATTTTTCGATTTATTAAATTGGACACTTTCCTGTTTCCACTTCTCTGCAAAGGATGACAGTGAATACATCAGGAAAAAGATTAAAAAAAATGTTTTTTTAACAATTTTTATACAACATAATAGTTTTTTATTGATTCGTTTCAAATATACATATCAATAAAATAATGACACATAATTTATTGTAAAAAAATTATTAGAAAAAGTTATTAACATATATGATTGATCCACTTTAAATATAAAATTGGAAAAAAGTTGTTAAGATATCGTCATCCATTTCTGAATCTGAGTTGTATTTTTTAACTGCATGATTTATGCAACCTATGATTTGTGTGTAAAAACTGTTGAAAAAACAACTTTTGCGAAGAGAATTTGGTAAAAGATAAGTTAACACATATTTTTTAAAAAATATTTTATAATATAAGTAATTTTTGGATTGGATTTAAAGTATGGTAGTATGATAATAAAAAAAATATTAAAAAAGAATAAGTGTAAGGAAGTAAAGAACTGACCCATCGAGCAAGTGCAAGTGAGCCTCCAAGTTATGGGCGCAGGCAGCATCCCCATTGGGGTTCAAGAAAGGTGATTGCTTATGATCCAATTCCAACTCCTGCCCAACGTGGAGATAACACCATGGCAACCAATCCACCAGCTTCACCAGCCACGGTGCCAACCCTTCGTTGAACAGAAACCCCGGCGACTGCGGCACAAGGTCGTGCCTGTTATGCACTCTCAACACCTTTATCCCCAGCTCCCCCTCCAACCTCTCCTTGAACTTCGCATTCCCCACCCTCGGCCCCGAAAACGAAAACACCGATACATGCGCTTTTCTCCCACTCTTTCCCACACTCGCCCCACTTTCCACTACATCAAAACCACTCAGTATCGCCATCGCACTCCCCAGACTATGCCCCGTTATCGTAATACTCACCTCTTCATCCGCATAAATCTTCATCAACCGTTTCACCTCCCCGAGAACCTGTTCCCTCGCCGAGTACTTACAATACCCACACTCCTGTTCCTTGTCCGTGTACAGATCCAAGAAACCGGCTTCCACCTTTATACCCTCGTCGGGACTCGGGATGAGGGGAGCGATCGGTCTCAGGAAATTCGTCAGGTCAGCCACCCACTCCACGTTCGTCACCGTCCCTCGCCACGCGATCGTGATGTCCCTCCGCCCCAGACGTTTGCTCGTCGCGTCGTCCGACACCGCTATGAAGCCCGACCAGTTCGCGTGCTGGCTCCACTTCTTGTCGGGCCACCGCGATTTGCGGAAGAATTTTGGGAGGTTGATGTTGGCCGTGGCGTAGAGATAACGTGTGACGTTGTATCCCACGTTGGGCATGTCGAGGCTTTGGAAGAACTCGGGTATGGAGAACCTGCAGCTGCCGCAGTATTTGGAGTAGGGGTCGTAGTCGAAGGCGTCGTAGCAGGCCTGGGCCATCTCCCCGTAGCGGATCAGCTCGGTCCGCATTAACGGGTCCAAGGGATCCAGAAGGCCGGCCCAGTTGTCCTCCCCGTGGATCTTGCGCCACACCTCCGCCACTTCCTTTTGTTTCTTCCCTTCCTCTTGCTTCTCAATGGTCTCCAGAGAAGATGAAAGCGTGGCACTGCATGTTACGTTTGTTGGGTAAGTTTTTAAAGCTTTGGTGTGTTTGGGTTTGAGTTTCATTACGGTGTTTGGTGGTTGGGATAGAAAGCTGCGGGCTTGGCTCTTCAGTGTTTGGGGGAAAGGGACGACCATGGTTGCCATCGATGAAGCCATGCTCAGTATAAACTCAGAAATATCAAAGGATGGTGCTTCCGGATTCAGCTATGAATATATCAATATATATTTACACGATAGTGATATTTCGAACCAAAAAAGACTAATAATATATCTACTTCATCATCACTTAAATATTAACATTTTATTCTCTGTCTTCAGATTTAATTATTATTGAAATGAGCTGTCAAATGAATATTTTTTCAAGTAGAAATATCATCCTCTTTATAATTATTATTGAGACAAGCATAAGCAAATGGTGTCGTTGCGTGTGAACCTCAGACTCTATTTCAGACACATGGCGTGAGTCTATGGCCCATCCATCGTCAATAATTTCATTTGTCAATACAAATACGTGTGTCAGTTTCATTTCATAAACAATAATCAGAGTAACTGTTTCATGCATTTGAAAAATCACTTTAAAAACATTTGTTGTGTTTAAATTCATGAATCTTCTATGCTACTCTAGAGGATAACATTTTTTATTTAGTTTAGATCACATGTTAATTAAAAACATTAGAGATGCTTAGCCTCGAGTACATTGTTGGCTAATTATGTTAGAAATCACGTAAAATTTAATAAAGTATACAATTTGAATACGTATTGTGTATTATCATGTATTCTATTTTTGGTGTGTTTAATATATAAAATATTTATTTAGTGTATGTATATATATACAATTAAGTTCTCCAAAATTTAAAGTTGATTCATTGCAAATTTTTTTTAAGGTTGAACTTGTTCAGGTGAAATTTTTTGAAGTTGTATAATTAACCTTTTATAAGTCGATTTAGGTTGATTTTTATTATGTTACACTTTTCAGGTTGACCTTATTATATTGATTTTTTTTAGATTGACTTTCATCATGTTAAGCTATTTAGGTCAATCTTTTTTGGATCAATCTCTATAATGTTGAGCTTTTCAGGTTGACATTTTTAAAGTCAATTTTCATCATATTGAGTTCTTTAGGTTGATGTCCTCCGGTTGAACTTCAACACCAAATCTTTTCTAAGTAGAGCTTCTTTGGTCGCTCACTTTGGATCAACTAGTTACAATACGACTGGCTAATCACAACATGGTTAGATGAAACAGCATGGCCAACTGATCACAGCATGGTCAAATTAAAAGTATCGACAAATCAATCTCTTAATGTATATTAAGGTACGATTGGGCCATAATTATGTTGATAAAAAGGTAAAGGCCCATTAGTTATATAAAGGTCTCAAGCGTGACTTTAACATATGCATTGATTGTTAACCAAATGGTCATTTATTGATTTTAGCATCGAGTACCTTATGCATGTACATTCGAATGGGCTTTTGATGACGCTAAACGACCCAAAAATCGCTCAATCTACAAAACAACCCGTCTAGCCTACGACAACCACAAGCCCAACCAAGGGCCCTCACCCTAAACAATTTTTATTTATTAGTAGTGCATATTTTGTGTTGTAGCTTTACTCATGCATTTAAGGAAGTAAGGTGTGATACTTGTTTACAGTTATTGATAAAAACAATAAAAATATCTCCCAAAGAAATGCCACCGAATTTTGAATTTCACCCGATAACTTCATGTTCCGTATTTTCATATGGTACCAAGGTTTCAATGTTTTTACATGTGTTTAGAGGGTTGCAAGGGCAACTTCTTGGGTGGTTGCATATTCTTCATCGATATTGATGGTTATCATCTAAAGACATCTTATAGTGATCAATTATTAGTTATAGTAGGTAGAGACTATGATGACCATTGATTGTCCCAATCAATGGATAGCAATTGTGGTCTAAAAGTAATGGTCCAGGAATATTTCCACCCATTTATAAAACACCACCTCAGAGGCTTAAGAGCTACGAAGAACGAAATCCAATGAACATGTGAGTCATTCAAAATTATCAAAGAAAAACATTGTTATGAAGTGTAACATGTGTAATCAATTTAAATTTGAAAAAAATAAATTAAATGCTTAACTCATATAACATGCTTAAATTCATACAACATAACATCACTAAAGTTTTATAACATCATTGTTCTGTAATAACCAATAAACTAAAGTACCAATGTTTTTGTCAACATTATTGATACAAGCCAAAACTATCATATTACTTTAAATTAATATTATAATACTAATAACAATTAATCTTTAGCAAAAACATAACAAAGTAAAAAAACAAAATTGTTACTGCTCATGATACAACAAACAAAAGTAGCATAATTTTTCTAACTTTTATATGTTGTTGTAATTTTCTCTTCAACTTCTAGTTCTTCTTCGTTAAACCAGTACAACTTTCCTCTTTTCAAAACAAACTTCTTCTCCACTTTTTTGTTTGTACAATAGCTTCAATTTTAGAATCTCCTTCATCAACTCATTCAAAGTAATTACAATGTGAATTGATCTGCAAGAAATATTACAAACCATCAATAAATACTTCATCAATATAAGTAAAGCATTTTTTCACTACTGTCCAATTTTTACATCTCAAATATAATCTTCCTTTGTTCTTCAAAGTAGTTTCTTTCAATATCAACAATATTTTCCTATATCCACTAACTTTTGATGCTAATTGTGAAGATGACCCACATCCTTGCAACATTCTCGAACTAATGCTCATCCGTGTAGAACCAAATCCTCTACTCTCATATTTCATCACACTACAACAATAATTTTCAAATTAAATTACCAATTAATTACATAATTTACAATAATAAAGAACCCTACATGTTGAAACCTTAGATCCTCAATCCCACCATATATTCCCACAAACACAAAGAATGAACTTATGTATCTTCCCCCAAGATGAACTCCATAAATTAAAGTTTTTCCTCTTTATTAATCTTCAAATGCTAAATTGTGATTTCGTTGATCAAACCCTTGATTTCGAACACAAATTCCACGAATGGTTGCTCTTCTCATCTTCATTGATTCTAAGAGAAAACTCACAACTCATATCCTCTTTGTTTGAACATTATAACTTAATTTCAATTTAATTTGAAATATTAATTGTACACATATTGAAGATGTGACACGCTCTTAGTAATGTCAGAAGAAAAACTAATAATGTTGGTCATTAATGACTAAATACGAGACTTTCTAAAAAAAGAAAGAGAAAAATTAATCAAAGTTTGGAAAAGGAACATAAAAGAAAATTGCGTGATAGTTTAAAAGTTAAAAATATATTTAGCTTTTTAATTAAAAATACTTCAAGCAAAAAGTTTTAAAATAATTACTATAATAAAAATCAAGATCTTATTATATTATATTATGAGATACAAAGATGAAATGAAGTAAAGTAAAAAAAAAAAATGATTTTTCAACTGGTGTAATTTTATTCTAAAATTATCATAATAATATAAATTTTAAAAAGGACCCTCATATAAATAAGTCATGCGAACTTGACAGAAAAATTGTATCCAATTTAAATGACTTTATTGTAAATAAAACAATGTATCCAATTTAAATGATTTTATTGTAAATAAATTAATATCATGTCAAGTTATGACGACTTCTATTTTAAAAATAAAATTATACTATTTTGACATGACTTTAGTTCTTAAATAAAATGAACTTCGTATGATATTGTGACAATTTCATTTTTCATAAATAAAATCATTTTATATATATAATACTTACTTCATTTTATTTATAACTGAAGTATTCGTATAACATAATATGTCTTTTGTTCATTTTATTCTTGAATTGAAATACTATCAAGTTGTGACCTCACTTTTATATAATTTTTTATATAAGTTGTTTTTAATTCATTTTGTAATAAAATCGTTTATATATTTTTTAACTTGAACCAAATGAAATTACACAAGAATGGTGAAAAAACGAAAAGAAATCTAATAACGCGTGTCCTGACGAAGTTTTAAAAAGTTAGGTGGGAAGTAATATATACACTAAAGAATTGACTCCACGTTTAAAACAAGGCGCACATGGTTTTCGTAAGTGGGACCACCCTTGCTCTCCTTCAATGTATCAACAAATCCCCACATCTAATCTTCACACTTTCACTTTCAACTTTTTTCAATCTCAAATTAATTCACAAATAATAAGAAAAATACTTAAACAAGTCATTATCATGATAAAATGGAAAGAAGAAGGTGATTCCATAGAATAAATAATTAATATATTCTTTTTTTAGGTATTTATGTTATTTTGTATCTACTCACATTTTTTAATTTTTCTTTTAAACAGCTTATAAAATGATCTTTCTATTGCAAGGACCACACAAAGAGATTATGGAAGTTGTAACATTATAATAACATTATATAATGGAAGGCGTGCTTCACCTGGCCAGTTTCCAATCATAAAATACAAACACATGATTGGGTTAACATGCGTGAAGGAATAAACTTCTTTTTATAGTAATTCATAATTTTAAATTCAATTAAATTTTAGAAATTTGATAAATTTTAAAAAAAAATTAATTAAACTCTTATAATTTATTAAGTACCCAAAAAGTTATATTTTTTAATTGATTTTTTTTCTGTTAACATGTGATTGTTTTTAGATGATTAAAATATTATATTCTTTATTAGGGTTTCATCATTCCTTCCAATGAAATCAGGTTTCATTTGATTCTTGTTCCCAGGCTACTTCTTCCCTTACCTGTCACAACCTTCAACCACTGAAAATCATTATCATGAACTCCATTTTCACTGTCCTTGACCTTTGTGGTTGTTTTTGTGTTGTTGGTTTGTGAGAAAGGAAATGACATGATTGAGGAACAACCTATTTCGTTGGAATTATAAAGATTAAGATAAAGATGTTGTGAACCTTATGAAGAAAGAAGTGAAATCCTATCCAAAGAAATGTAAGGTTGGATAAAATTATAAATTATAAAATTACACAAGTAATAAGTTGATGTAAAAAGATATATGTTACAATACCAACTTAAAAATCATATCAGGAAGTTAATAGAAAAATTAAACTTAATTAAAAGTTTATAAATTTTTCAAGACTTAAAATTTAATTAAACATAATTTAATTTAAATATTTACATTTGATTATATTTGTACTTTCAGGATTTAAATATGATTATTTGTTATTGTATTGGTTTTTTAAAAGTACTTATTTAATCTTT